TCATGTTGCCCTTCCTAGCCAAGATGCTTTTGAATTCTCGCTACGCCATTGTGATCGATTCACAGCGCAGTACCAAACACCACACTCCAGAGAAGCTATGGCAAACGTTCAGTGGTGGAAACGATCAATCAATGCTGTTGTGGACTCGGAGAGCCTCGTGAAAACATCCAGCTGACCAGTTGGCTCCAAATACCATCCAAATGGGCCTCTAGTCGATACGGCGGTCGCTGCATATCCCCTACTATCTCGCTGAGATGGGCAGCTCTCTTGTCATGTAGGCTCGTCACGTGGACCACATCCCAACCATGCCAGTTTACAATGTTATTATAGCTAACAGTAAATGTCAACTTAGCCGATCGCAGTATATGAGATTGGTTTGGCATATTCAATCGAACAGTAAGGTTAAGAAGCATGACGAAGGAGTTGGTGGCATTTGGTGGTCGAGGCGTACTCAAATCCTGCCAGTCGATTTGCCATTGACACGAGGCCGATTTGGTCAAGTCGATCTGCCGCAGAGTCTCACGGTCCCGTCGTTCCTTCCGAACTAATGCTGCCACCTCACACACAGCGACCCATGGCACCCCTGGCCGCAACAATTTCAATATGTAGCTCGGTGCTGCGATCACTGTAGGTGTTCGACATAAATCAGTAAACTCTTCCACTAACACAGAGGAGGCCACCAAATACCGATTGAGGAGCTGCGTCTCTGGCCGTCCGGGGACCTTGTCAATGCTCAACTTCAATTGGAAGGTCCTGCTGGCCCCATCGGCATACAGTACAACCCGACACACCACACTACCCTCGAAGGTGTTCCACGACAGGACCCTCCAAGGCTCGCTATCTGGTGCCGACTCGGCAGACATCCGATCCTCCCTAGGGCAATCGGTGGGCAGCACGCCATTTGCAATGGTCGTAATGATATGACAGTACCAACAATAGACTCCTAATGGCTCCAGGATGCCACTGTATAGTTTGCCAGGCTGAAATCGTACCCGAAACTCAGTGTCCCGCAAAGGTAGGAAGTGATCGCTGACAACGCCAGCCTTCGTTGCCGTTACCATCCGGAAGAACCTCTCAGGTGCCGGCAGAGGCACCAAGGGCTGCTTATATCGGTTATTGGTCCGAACTGCCAAGTACCCACCCAGCATTGCAGTGAACTCAAAAAGGTAAGTACGGCCATATACCATGTCCAAGGCCATCTGATTCCTGGGCCATAGTTCCCACATTGGCATCGGGAGGCCTTCAGCCAGACCGGGAGGCCTTACCCCCGTCCCTATCGCTTCTGCCTTCGACGGTACAGCGGCAAGCCCATATTGAGTGGCCCTGCACAGTTCTATATAGGCTGCCAAACGGGCCAGTGGACCGGCCAAGTCACCCGCAGTGGCAGTCACCATCTGCAGGTTGGCAAACAGCTCCAACTGAGGCACTACACAATCCGTCAACGACGGTTGGATCCACTTGAGGTTCACGCCCAGACCTTCAGTGCAGCAATCCAATGCTGGTCGTAAGGACCTCCCAACGTCGGACAGGAACACTTCAAAGACATCATCCTCCGTCCCACAGGTCGGCGAGAGTGACAGGCGTATAGCCTCTAGGTCGGCCGAGACTAACTGCATGCCATCATGGTACCGAGCTACCATCCTCGCCTGGTAGATCCACTCAGCCATTCGAACCAACTGGTGCAGATCACGACCAAGGGCCCCGAGTGTGCCATACTCAATGACCAAACCAGTAGCGACGAGGCCTCCAGCAGGGGCAGCCGAATAGCTCCGTAGAACGGCTCTCGCCCCGGACAGCATCCGAATCACTTGATTGGAAACCGGTGTATCATCACCAGGCGGTGGGGACTCCCAGTCATCCGATAAGAACGCTGCCGTTGTCGGAGCGGGGGTCTGGGGGGCAATGACGTGCATGTTATTCAGAGAATCGTTATTGGCAGCAGCTGCCATCTTAGAGGGCCACGATGGGGGCTCGGCATCAGGGGCGGAGGCATCTTGCATGACTATAAGGGAACCAGGGATCAACGACAGGCGG